ATTAAAAAGACTATATTTTTGTAAATAAAAATATAATTAATACACTTCTAACAAGAATTAATACACACATATTAAAAAGACTATATTTTTTTAAATAAAAATATAATTGATACACTTCTAACAAGAATTAGTACAACAACTGTATACAAAGGTGTCGAATCGTTTAGTCATGCAATAGGAAAGTTATGTAAAAAATTGTCTAGAATTTGAAACTCAAGCCACGGAAATGATACCTCAATATATCTGTTGCATCGTTAAATACTTCAAACGAGAATTGGATTGTTCCTTCTTTGATATGGGATCATCACATCATGCTACCACCAACCTTCCAAAAGCTAACAGTTACTCTGACTACATTAGCTTTTAATTAGTGATAGTTCTAGTCAAAAAATTATATGTGTGTGACAAATTAAGATCTACATATTATTACAAAAATCTTCTCTTTCATTTCAGCTTTATATTTTCTTGAGGATAATATACACTAAACCGCATCTATTCATTTTTAGCAAAGTTTGAGTGACTTTGAAAATTAAACACGTATAAGGTATTGATAGAGACATCAAGGGATTGACGAAGACATGACAAAGACTTGAACATCAGGGAAAAAAAAGGAAGGTAAGAAGCCATTTAACAACTTGAACACCAAGGTGTTAGCGACGACTTGGATCATAGTGCCATGACCAAGACTCAATTAGGTTTTTTGTCAATTTTATGTGAGAACTTCTATCGGTTAACTAGATCAAATTAAAACAATACGTGTAAAAAAAGTAGAGGGGGTTATTTTCTTTTGAGTTGCATTGGTAAAGAGCCAAAAACTTGGATTTTCTCTCAATTCTTGATGGTCACAACTTTTGTATCTACGTAAAATTAAGGATTTTCAAGATGATTATGATTTTTCACTTGATTGATGAAAAACATAGGTGAAAATCAAGTTAGTATTCTATTTTATGACTCAATTTTTTTTTTTTTTTTATGTTGGTTGCACAACAAGAGGCAACTCTCTCCAATCCCTTATCTTGCCCCAACTGCATGTCATACGACTCGAACGCAGGATCTCTTGCTTTTAGTAAAAAGAGATTATCACTAAATTACTTAGATCGTTGGCCTATTTATGACTCATAGTTGGACTCAATTTAAAACAATAATGATGGCATAGATCTAAACCTTAATTTATCAAAAGGCATTTATTTATAACCTTCTCATTCTTTGATATATA